GCGGTTTTTCAGGGGAACGGCTCGAATGGCCGTTTCCGAGAAGGAGAGGGGAGGGAGGGAGGAAGGGAGGGAGGGAGAGGGCAGGCAGGTCGTGTCGCGCGCCAATTTTGTCGCGAAACTGTAAATTGAATATCGATCGAGGCCGCCGCTTCGTCGTGTCATGCCGTGGCATTCCTATTGAAGCCAGGCTCTCCCCTCCCCTCTTCCACCCTCCCTGAGATGGCTGATATATAAGAGACGAGATCGAATTGTCGAATCGGTGGATTTCGAGGAATCTTGGAAGATTCGAGGATCAAAATGTTAATATAATGGGATCAGGAAAAGAAGAAAAGGATATATTGTTTTATTTTGAATCGTTGAACTCGTTGGAAGATTCAATGGTCGAAGAATTAAAATAGTAATACAATGATCAAGAAACGAATTTTGGAATTGAATGGATGTTTTATTTATTGAACTTTTTGGAAGATTCAATGATCGAAGAATTAAAATAATAATATATAATAAAAATGATCAAGAAATAAAACGAATTTAGAATTGAACGGATGTTTTACTTTGAATCATTGAAAGATTCAATGGTTGTAAAATTAAAATAATAATACAATGTCAATCTCCTTCTCGGATCAGGAAAAGAAATAATAAATTTGGAATTGAACGGGTGTTTTATTTTGAATCGTTGAAAGATTCAATGGTTGAAGAATTAAAACAATAAAATGATCAAGAAAAGAAACAAATTTGGAATTGAATTTATTGGAAGATTCAATGGTTGAAGAATTAAAACAATATAATGATTAAAAAAAGAAATGAATTTGGAATTGAATTTGTTGGAAGATTCAATAGTTGAAGAATCAAAATGACTATATAATGATCAAGAAAAGAAATGAATTTGAAATTTGAACTTGTTGGAAGATTCAATGGTTGAAGAATCAAAATGACAATACAATGATCAAGAAAAGAAATAAATTTGGAATTGAATTTTTGAAAGATTCAATGATTGAAGAATCAAAACGACAATACAATAATGAAGAAAAGAAATGAATTTGGAATTGAATTTCTTGGAAGATTCAATGATTGAAGAATCAAAACGACAATACAATGATCAAGAAAAGAAATGAATTTGAAATTGAATTTGTTGGAAAATTCAATGGTTGAAAAATTAAAAAAATAATAATGATCAAGAAAAGAAACAAATTTGGAATTGAACTCGTTGATTCAAGATTCAAAAATTAAAATAATAATACAAGAAAAGAAACAAATTTATTTTTGGAAGAATTGAATTTGTTGAAAGATTCAGTGGTTGAAGAATCAAAACGACAATACAATAATGAAGAAAAGAAACGAATTTGAAATTGAATTTGTTGGAAGATTCAATGATTGAAAAATTAAAACAATATAATGATTAAGAAAGAAAACGAATTTGGAATTGAACTTGTTGAATTCGTTGGTTCATGAGTTCTGTCGAATCGATAAATTAGTTGAAAAAGAATGAGCAAGCTACTGATTTTGGTTTTATGTACAATATAAAAGCAACTTATATTGTATATAATGATATTATTTAAATACTAATAAATTAATAAGTAAAATAAACGGAGAAAAGATTCTGTTATTTAAAAAACGGTTTCCAATCCGCAAGCGAAATAAAAACGCACCTTGAAGAATATTTTGCAATTAAGTCTCGATAATTTTGGAAAGAAATAGAGCAGAATGGTTTATATATATAAAATTATAATAAACCTATAAATCAACCTTAAACAACAAATATTTGTGTAATCATTTCATATCAAAAAAAAAAAAGAAAAAGAAACTTGGATCACTCTAATAACATTATTTATAATACTATTAAATTAACAAGTAAAATAAACAAAAGAAAAGATTCTCTAAAAAATTCTCTCCTCGATAAACGATTCCAATCCATAAACGAATTAAAAATTCCCCTCGAAAATTATTTTGCAATTAAGCTCCAACAATTTTGGAAGAAGATAGAACAAAACGTATATCATATATAACACGATAAATCAACAACAAATATTTATGTATTCATTTCGTATCAAAGATAGAACGAAACTTAATGAAACACCCTAATAACATTATTTATAATGTTAACTAATAAATTAACAAGCGAGATAAACGGAAGAAAAGATTCTTAAAGTATTCTGCCATGGAGAGCCATTTTGCTTTCTTAGAAACGGGAGGGGGGGAGGAGGTAAAAATTATCGGGCAATCAATCAGCCGATAATTTCAACGCAGGTGACAGCGTCCCGACAGGAATTTTAATAACCAGGCTCTTCTTTCTCACCGCCATTTAGGGCAGCCTATTATCGATCGAGGCGAACGTTTCAATCTATCAACCTCTTCGACGACTCGATCTCACCTCTCGCGACATCCCTCGATGCGTTTTCCTTCCATTTCACTTCAATTCTTGCGTTTATTCCATAAGAGACGAACTTTGAAGGATCATCTGTGAAGATCATCTTCGAAATTATCTCGAGAGAGGAAAATTATCAAACTATCTCTTCCATCGATGCCTTTTAGATCGCGTTGCGTTTGTTAGAAGAAAGTATATAAAAAAAGATAATGATACAGAAAGAAATATAGGATAATAATAAAGGATAATGATGGATTTTTTGGAAAAATTCGAAGAATTCGTTGACACATTTTTATGTTTTCTTCTGAAAAATGGCGAAAGGAGCGAAGAGTTTTAAACGATGAAATGTAGATAAAATGGCAATATATTGTATTATTGCTCATTAGAATTCGATCAAAGAGGATAGTATATTTTATCATTCGTCTTACCGTGCATATCGTTGGCGTTTGCCCGTGGATTTTGCTGCTATCGAGAAATTCGGGAACCTTGGACGCCTCTGATTGCAAGTGAGTCCTGGGGCACAGAGGGGACGAAGTAGGAACGTTGCTTGGATTCGATACGTGGCCGGTGGGCAGTTGAGCGCCGAGAGGGAAATCCGGCCTGTAGAACCACGTTGGCCACTGAAATTAAACATTTTCATCGTCATTTCACAAGTTTTTAAATCTCTAAATTTTATACACAAATTTCACAAACAAGTAAACTGAAGAATTTTCAATTTACGATATATTCTTAAGCTACTCTCCTCTAAAAATCTCCAATTTTTCACTTTACTTTTGTCCAAAAATCTCTAATGAATCTCTAAATCGTCTCCCAGTGACAAAAAAACGCTGATTTACTTTCGACAAACCACTCGAAAATCCCATGATCCCATCCTTAAAGGAATAGAACAAACCACACTAAAAAAAAAAAAGGACAACTTCTCCTCGGTATCAAAAGACACTTTATCACCAAGATAAACCGTCAAAAAGACACGCATTAAAAAAAAAAAAAACCCTCAAGTTTATCACACTCCTACAATCTTCAAATAATTTCCCTATCATCGAGATAAACCCTATCGTCGAGGAGACATCGTTACACGGGGGGGAAAAAAAATCCATCCTCATACAAAAGAACCCGTCAAACTCGCTTATATCCGAATATCATTTGCCTGTCGTCGAAGGAACGAAAGGAAAGAAAAGAAAAAAAAAAAGAAGAAGAAAAAAGAAGAGAAGGAAGAAGAAGAAGAAGAAGAAGAAGAAAATACGCGTTGTGAAGATAAAGCGGAGAAAGCAGGCATTAGTGTCACCGAGTGAATATGAACCTCCCCAAGATAGATGACACACGCCCCTGACCCTGTAAGAAGGGGTATCCGCGTCGAGGTCACGAGGAATGCGTGTGGTCCATTGTACGTGTATATTCTGTTAAATAAAGGGGGGGCCGGGATGGTGGAGAGGATGAAAAGGAAGCCACGGGTATGTTCCGTTCACCGTGGTACGTAAAGACCTTTTGATCGTCCCGTCGCGTCGCGACGATGATACGGCGACGCACAAATTCCACGCGCGGTTATTCCCATTCGACAAAATGGCCGAATCGTTTTGATCGGGGCGAGATACGATAACGCAGCGCCAAGCCTTTTGTCAAGGACTTTTGCTGGAGGGAAAGATTTATCCTTGCCCGTGGCTAGGCGAATATCGGTTTCTTTCTTATTTCACTCTTATTCTGAGAGAGGAGCTTCCATCCTCGATAGAAAATTTTTAAATTAAATAAAAATTATTAAATTTTAAATTAAATATTTAAAATTAAGTGACCGGAATTTTCTCGAGTCTTTTTCAAATATTTCATAGCAATGTGACAAATATTCGAAAGATAAAGGATCAATTAAAATACTGCTACAACGTCGCAATTCAATTTTTGTCAAGGATTTTTGGCTTGGAGGGAAAGATTTATCCTAGGGAATTTTGCGAATATTGGTTTTTTGAGAGAAATTTTCCCCAATAAAAAGTATTTAAAATCAAGTGAGAGGTATTAATTTCCTCTCACTACGTCGCTTCAAGGTCGACTTTTGCCAAGGAAAGGGTCTGATGCTTTATACTTGCTTGTACTTGCTAGGGGATTTTTAGTTCAAGTGGAATCCCCCGATTTTGCGAATATTGATCGCGCCCTTTCTTATTTGAGAGAAATTTTCTCAAACTCCCAATAGAAAATTATTAAAAGGATTTAAAATCAAGTGAGAGCTACAATCTCCTCGTACCAGTTTTTTTCAAACCCTTTATTTCCTTTCCCAATTGGGGACTTAAATTTCATTTGTGTTCCCGTATAGAAATGCACCTGTCAATGTTTTATGGAAAATATACATATACATAAAGTTCCCATACAGGGAATAAAATAAATAACATTTTCTAACAAAATTTAACTACTTAATTCATTTTTAAATAAACTAACAATATATATTTTTTTTCAACTCGTCTTAAAAATTCATGCAATGGAGGATTAAAATATTACTACAAACTTTCAATGATTTTTGCTGCCTCGAAAGGAAAAGCTTTATCCTGCAAATAGATAATTGCAAATATTCCATTCTGAGAGAAACTCGAATCTCCAATAGAAAATTTCAAAGTATTGTAAAATCACACTGTATGAGTTTTCTTTTCAAACCTTTTCTACTCCATCCTAATAAATATTACAACGTGACGAACGTTCGATGCAAAAAATCGATTACAAAAACACTACTGCAAGCTCCAACAACTCTTGAGTCGATCATCGCGCTCGATCCAGTCCTTAGATATTAGATACGTATCCAACCAGGCCACGAGGCCTGTTACGTCACCACGGCGCGATAATACATCGGCGGGTTTCGGTTATTTCGAAGCGCGAGGATGGGGGAAGTAGGAGGGGAGGGGGGGATCACGGACACGAGAAGGAGTAGGAGGAGGAAGAGGAGGACGGAATGGTTTTGGACGGCGGTGGTCTGGCGAATGTCTCTTGTCGCTGGCTACGCGAGAGTTAACGGCAAAACCGAAATAACAAACTACTAAAGTCGGTTGAGTTAACGCTACTTCGCCACCGAGGTTTCTCCACGCTTCTGTTATTTTCTGTTTACCACGGCCATTCTGTAAGCACGGGGGATCGTTTACACGCAACCGCGGCTCCGGTAACGGAAATCGGCCGACCTTGCCCGAACGACGTTTTCCGGTGACGCGCTCCTGTTCTCACCTCGCCACTCGTCTCCGTTTCCTTGATCAGATCCAGATTGTTCTCGTGATTCCACTTCTTTTTTTTTTTTTTTTTTTTTTTTTTTTTTTTTTAGATACGAAGGAGAGAGTATATATTATAAGCGGAATATTTTTCTCAGCGGTCTGGAATTTAATTTTTGAAAAATTGGGATTAATACGAGGCTCGAAGAAAGGACAAAATGCCTTATATCGGCTTACGTATTAATATATAAAATTGTACAATGTGAATGCGTACAACAAAGTGAAATTAAATTAAATTAAGACGGTTCAGAAATTGAATAAGCGTAAAGGACACCTGTACGTTTAAAAAATTGCATTTTTTTTTTAAATGCAAAGGAAAATAGAATATAATAGAAATCGAATCGTCTTACGTAATATATATAAAATCGCTAAAAATGCAAGACCATTTCTTAATTAAAGAAACGCGTACAACAAAGTGAAATTAAATTGTAGTGTAAAGGAAGTGTAAAGGACACTTATACTTGTTAAAAAATCGCATTTTTTTTTTAAATGCAAAGGAGAAAAGAAGATTAATAAATAAATTAATAATTAAATTAAGAATCATAATTTAATATGTTATAGGTTCAGAAATTGAATAAGTGTAAAGGCCACTTGTACTTGTTAAAAAATCGCATTTTTTTTTAAATACAAAGCAGAATAGAATATTTTTCTTCTAATTAAGTAGTCTTCTGGAACGCGTACAATAAAGTGAAATTAAATTAAGAAGATTAATAAATAAATTAATTAAATTAAAAATCACAATTTAACACGGTTCAGAAATTGAACAAGGACTTTTTTTAAATACAAGGACAATAGAATATTTTTCTTCTAGTTTCTTCTTACTGAAAGAAAAAAAAATAGAATCATCTTATATATAAAATCGCAGAAAATGCAAGACCATTTCTTAACTAATCAACGCGTACGACAAAGCGAAATTAAATTAAGAAGATTAATAAATAAATGAATTAAATTCAGNAATCACAATTTAACACGGTTCAGAAATTGAACAAGGACTTTTTTTAAATACAAGGACAATAGAATATTTTTCTTCTAGTTTCTTCTTACTGAAAGAAAAAAAAATAGAATCATCTTATATATAAAATCGCAGAAAATTCAAGACCATTTCTTAACTAATCAACGCGTACGACAAAGCGAAATTAAATTAAGAAGATTAATAAATAAATGAATTAAATTCAGAATCACAATTTAACACGGTTCAGAAATTGAACAAGGACTTTTTTTAAATACAAGGACAATAGAATATTTTTCTTCTAGTTTCTTCTTACTGAAAGAAAAAAAAATAGAATCATCTTATATATAAAATCGCAGAAAATTCAAGACCATTTCTTAACTAATCAACGCGTATAACAAAGTGAAATTAAATTAAGAAGATTAATAAATAAATGAATTAAATTCAAAATCACAATTTAACACGGTTCAGAAATTGAACAAGTGTGAAGGACGCT